TGCTGATGGTGCTGATGCTGATGTTGATGTTGATGCTGATGGTGATGGTGATGGTGATGGTGATGACGATGCTACTGATGTTGGTAATGATGATGCTGATGGTGCTGATGCTGATGTGATGCTGAGACTGATGAAGCTGATGTTGATGATGTCGATGCTGATGCTGATGATGATGATGATGATGATGATGATGATGATGATGATGATGATGATGATGATGATGATGATGATGATGATGATGATGATGATGATGATGATGATGATGATGATGATGATGATGATGATGATGATGATGATGATGATGATGATGATGATGATGATGATGATGATGATGATGTGATGATGATGATGATGATGATGATGATGATGATGATGATGATGATGATGATGCTGATGATGATGATGATGATGATGATGATGATGATGATGATGATGATGATGATGATGATGATGATGATGATGATGATGATGATGCTGCTGCTGCTGCTGCTGCTGCTGCTGCTGATGATGATGATGATGATGATGATGATGTCGATGATGTCGATGATGATGCTGGTGCTGATGATGATGATTACGATGATTAGTATGATTATGATTGGTAATGGTAATCGCTCCTGATGGCGCAGCATGTGGGACACCTGACTCCGCCGCGAGGAGGTCGACGACGACTTTGTGGAGTGAGGGGCCGGTAGCCGAGCAGCTGCAAGACCGGGGGGGCGCCAGCTGGCCACCTGAGCGCACCGACAGCCCCACACCTGGCAAGTGGGCCGACCGCGGGCCAGGATCGTTTATGCGCCCTGCCTTCGTCCCCACAGCGATCCTGTGCCCAGCGTCGGCGCGGCCGGGGTCGGTGCTGGTGTTAGGTCGGGCACGTCCCTCTACAGGAGGAATATTCAAACATAATGTTTAAGAGAATAGCCTGGGGACAAGTTTTCACTATTTTGACATTAGCTGAGCAGTTGTTTGGGCTGTTTTTGATTGTTCCTGGAAAAACCGCCTGCAGGAGGACATGCCCGACCTAGTGCTGGTGGACGGTCGACGCCCCCCGAAAGACGCAGCAGTCAGCATTCGGCCCGTCTGCCACGTGCGCCGCCCGCACACGGGCCTGGCCACACGAGCCATGCATCTTTGGCACCCACTGGCTGTCCTTGCGTTCCTCCTCCTCGCGTCTGCGGAGGATCGAGGCTTCTCAGAAGCTGCTCGGGCCCTAGCCGGGGAAACGCAAGGCTCAACTTTGCTGGGACTGATGTGCCGACGCTCGTTGACGATCCGGTCTTCGTGAGATGTTTGCAGGGAGGGGGGCTCGCGTCAAATGCTGGATTTGGTCCCGGCATGCTTTCCGACGGCCCCGTCTGGCCAATTTGCGTGCCCACAATTCGAGTCCGACCTCTCTCCGATCTTGGGCCTCCAGAGACCCCCTAAGGCCTTGTCGACTTGTCGCCAATCGACTTGTGGGGATCGAGCCAGATAAATCCAGGTAAATGCAGATAAATCGAGGTACATTCAGGTAAATCCAGGTGAGTCGAGATGTACGCGGGTAAATCCAGGTACATCCAAAGATCTCTGGGGAAAGTTGGAGCAATGCGCGGCCGCTCCAGCGCGAGTCTTCAGAAGTCATTGAGCCTTCAACGACAGCAGAGACCTCTGGCGACTCGCAGGGACCTCTGGAGATGTTCAGCTGCTGGTGCGCTCAGCTTCCCTAACGGTGGGTGCGGGGTGGAGGGGGAGGGGAGGAGGAGGCGGAGGGGGGGAGACGGGGAGGGGGAAAACAAAGATGGGGAGGGCAAGGTGAAAAACGGGAAGGGGGGAAGAGAGAGAGAGAGAGGAGAGTGACAGAGGAGGAGGAGGAGGAAAAGGGGCCCAGGGGCCGATGCTCAGCGGATTCTGGACAGGAGGACGGCAAGATTCTGCCCGCGCGAGCACTCAGAAGCAAGCTTCTTCTCGCCCTTCTCCTCCTTGCCCCGATCCTCCTATCCACCTTCTCCTCCCTCCGTGATGATGTTCGGTTCCATCTTCCATCGTCCCCCCATCTCCCTACTGCTCCCCCACCCATGTTGCTCTACCTCCTCTCGGCTGTCCCTCCTTTCCTCCGCCGCCCCCTCCACAATTACTCAATATGAATACTACCCCTCCCCCTTTCCCCTGACTCTGTGCGGATATTGTCCTCATATCTCCGCGTGTGTGTTCTTGACACTGGATGCCATGGTTTGACATGTCCTATGTTTCGTTCCGTCGAAACGCTGCCAGTGTCACAAAATGGTGTTCCCGTTTTCCCGTTGCAGCGTTGGCCTCGTTTTAGGAGCGGCTTACGCCCCCGTCGTTCAGAATGGCGCTCTCGCCCCAGCGCGGGCCACTTTTCGGGATCTGAGTGATTGCTCATTGTTGTCGCCCCGCTCCTTTCCCCTCCCCCGCTTTCGCCTGGTCATCCTGCTCGTCCTGCTTCTCCCACTCTTGCTCCTGCTGCTGCCGTTCCTCCTCGTCCTCCTCCTTCCTCATTCTCCTCTTCCTGTTTATCCTCTTTCTCATCCGCTAGCCCGTAGCCAGTTTTGGCTCCAGCTGCTGCAGGCGCACTTCAGAGCGGCCCGTCTGCAGCCAGCCACGGCTGGGCCGTGAGCAGGGCCCCAGACACTGGTGGGGTGAGCGTGCCCGTGGTGGGTCCACTGGCGGTGCTCCGTGCAAGGGGCGCCGTCCTGGAAACGCCACGCCTACTCGCTGGGCGATTTGCTGGCGGAGGAGCTCGTCGAGGCCAGCTCAGTGGGCGCGGAGCACTTCATCGGGGACCAGCCAGGGGTCGAGGGTTCGGACCTCGGGCAGTTCACCTCCGAGCCGAGCGACGACCAGGAGGAGGATGGAGGTCACGCTGGAGCAGCGCTACGAGTCGCTGGCAGAGATCGTCGCGAGGGCGGTCGTCAGGGCGACGAAGCTGGGTCGCTGGAGGAGATCGTCGTGAGGGCGGTCTGTCAATGCGACGGCGAAGTGCAGACTGAAGGCTTTCTTCGGGACGTTCGAGGCGATCAGCGTGAAGGCGATCGTGGGGGAGGGGATCTTCAGGTCGCTGCAGGTGCGCACGCTTGAGGCGATCTTCGGGACGCTAGGAGCACCGCGGGAGCCACTTGTGCCAATGAAAACCTTGGCGCTAATCGGCCCAGCTGCCGCGCAGAGGCGGCTGGGCGCCTCGCCAAGAGCCCGCGGCGCTCTTCGTGGAGCCTGGAGGCGATCTTGGAGACGCCGGGGGCGACGAGCCGCAGGTCGTGAACATCCCGCGGGTCGCGGGCTCGGCCGCGGAGGACGAGGCGGCGCCCCCCCGGCGCCCTTGCGTTCCCAAGTTGGCGGGGCTTCCGGCGGCGCCGCACGCCGAGGGTGGCGCGAAGTTGCCGAGCAACAGGGCCGAGGCGATCGACGAGAGGGCGCAGCTCGTGGAGGGCAGTGCGAACGGGAACATGCTGGAGTTCGAGAGCACCGCGAAGGCGTCTACAGAGGCCGCGGACGATGTGGAGATTCAGGAATGCGGCATGGCGGTCACTGTCGCAACAGCGGCCGCCGCGGACGGCGTCGACGCCGACGATGAGCTGCAGGAGGCAGCGAGTACGTCTACCGAGGCCGTGGACGACGAGGAGGCCGCTGTGCGGCAAAACGGTCATTGCCGTAACGGTGGCGGCTGTGGACGGCGACGACGCCTACGAGAAGAAGGTGCCGATGGTCTTCGCTGACGCTGACGGCGGCTTCATTGATCAAGTCCTCTAGGCCGTCGATGGCCACGAGCCTGGCTCAGGGGAGCACGAGGCCGCGCTGGGGGTGGTGACGGAGCGGTTCAGGTTCTCCGTGGAGGACTCTCGTTCCGCCTTCGCCCGGCAATCGAAGACCAAGGAGAAGAAGAAGAAGAAGAAGAATAAGAATAAGCAGAAGGGCAAGAGCGGACGGTGAGGTTCGCGCTGATGTCCTTCCTGGCCGCCGAAGGCGGGAGAGAAGCTACGCGTAGTTGCGTGGGGTCGGCTCGAAATGCTGGCGTCCTCTGGGGCGGCCTGCTCCGTTCGGGCTCGCGGGGTTCCTTCCCGGGGGCGACCTGGGAGGCGACGCCCGGCTGCCCGTGGGTCTCTGTCCCCGCGGGGAGTGGCGGGGCTTGGGCCGCGGCGCCCCCCTCCGGGGAGGGCCGCTGCTGGGGTGCGCCTATATTCAAGTCGGGCCTGTCCCTCTACACGGGGAATATTCAAACATAGTTTTCAAAAAATTGGGGACGATGATTATATTACTTTCTATTGTTGCTGAGCATGTTTGATAATTTCTTATTTTTCATCCAAAAATCCGCCTGTAGGGGGGAACACTCGACCTAAGCCTACATGGTGGGGCCCTCGGGCTCCTCCCCGTCACCGCTCCTGCCTTTGAGAATTGCTTTCGGCCCGTTATTCGGGCCAGCCGCGTCGCGGCGAGGCGTCTTGCCCATGCACCCTGCAGCCTTGCAACCAGCTCATCCGCCACCTCTCCCTCGTCCGCTGTGCGCATCTTTCTTTTTCTGTGATTGCGCATGACATGGGGTCCCTTGCGGTATCCAGGTCCGTTGATGACGCCCGTCGGCGGGTAGGAAAAATCCAGCGCCACGGGGAAGGGTGGGGGTGGGAAGGGTGGGATGTCAGATATGCTGCCTGCGAGCGCACCGAGCCAGCCATTCTCACTCTCCTCGCCCCTCCGTCCCCCGCCCCACCCCTCCCTCACCTTCCCTCCCCCAACGAGTATATTCCCCCCCCCCACGTCCCTCCCCCGACGAGTGTTCCGCCCCCCCCTCTTCCTCCCCGTCCCGCGCGACCGGCGCTCGTTCGGCGCCCCCAGTCGCGCGCCGCGAGTCTCACCCGGAAGCCGCGCCGCCCCAGAGCGCGCTCGCGCTCGGCGGCGGCGCGGAGCCCTGCTGGCGAGCTCGGGGGGGGCACCAGCCGTCCGACTCATGTTGCGGTGGGTTTCGAGCCACCGCGTCTCGAGAGAACGCGGGTGTGGCGACGGGCCCCGAGTAACGGTAATTACCCATCGGCGATCGGTCGTTGAAAGTAGGATTTCTGGGTTCCCATATTCCAATCTGTTTTAAGCGCCTTCCTGCTTCAGTGATCGAGTGGCCTCACCTTTTCCGTCCTCCCACGGGGAGCGGACTCGACCCAATCTGCTGTCAACGCCCTCCTCCTTCATGTTTCGACCTACGTTTTCCGACCGGTGGGTAATGGTTTCGTGCTATCGGGGGGATTGCTCCCCCCTCCGCGCCAACGTGCCAGATCGACAGGGTAGTCCGCAAAACCGTGGAAGCGGGTGCCTGGTCCCCAGAGGGCGCCGTCCGCACACCTGCTCATGGGCGTGAGAGAGGCCAGGGGGCGTGTGCCTCCGCCTACTCCGCCTCTTCCGCCTCCTCCTCCTCCTCCTCCTCCTCCTCCTCCTCCTCCTCTTGGTCCTCCGTCTCCTTCTCTTCCTCCTCCTCCTCCTCCTCCTACTCCTCCTCCTAGTCCTCCTCCTGGTCCTCCTGGCCCTCCTCCTGGTCCTCCTCCTCCTCCTCCTCCTCCTGGTCCTCCTTTTCCTTCTCCTCCTCCTCCTCCTCCTCCTCCTCCTCCTTCCTCTCCTCCTCCTCCTCCTCCTCCTCCTCCTCCTCCTCCTCCTGCGGGGCGGGCCACGTTGGCGAATGACGCCACGGGGTGGGGCGCCTTCGTCGCGCGGTGGTCGCCCGCGACGGGGCGCGGTCTTGGGCAGTCGGCGGGTCTCCTCCCCCTGCTCTTGGCATCGCTCGGACGTTTTTAATTGTTTGGCAAGGACCACTGAGGAGCACTTCGTGCACCTTGCGAAAAATACGCGCACGAAGCCGAACAATGCACAGGGAATGAATGAACGTTCGAGCGATGGCCAGTCCTGGCGCTCAGCAGGAAACGCAGAGTGGTACACTGATTCTGGCCAGCCCCATCCTGCGCCCAGGACCGGTGCAGGTGTAGTTAGCGCCCTCCAACGGCGAGATCCGACGGTTTGGCGCGGCGGCGGCGGCGCGGGCGCGGGCGCTCAAGGCGGGGGCTCGTCGCGAGAGCGAGGCCTCTCAGGATCAAGAGTCCAGGGACCGAGGCGCGTCAGCACGGCGGCGTCGCTGGCGCGTTTCACACCGTGTGGGGGCTCGATCTGGGCCCACGGGGGCCCACGGGGAGCAGCCCACGGCGTGGCGCGGGATTCCCACGAGGAGATGAGGACGAGAGCCTCTGGGGGGCTCCGGGAGCGAGGATCGCTCGAGGTCGAACGATTCTCGCGATGGCAGAAGCCAGGGTCAGCGTCGTCACAGCAGGAACCTGTCATGCGGTCGCACGCAGGTTGGTGCCACCTCGGCGCGGCGGCAGCGCCCCCTGACAAGCATGACGTCTCAGCGTCGTGAAGCTCCTCGTGCCGAGGAGGAGGAGGAGGAGGAGGAGGAGGAGGAGGAGGTGAGGAGGAGCAGGATGACTAAGAGGAGGAGGTGAGGAGGAGGAGGAGGAGGAGAAGGACAAGCCAGGTGCGCTCGCGTCATACCTGATGCCATAACCCTCGCTCCCATCCCTTACCATGGCGTAGATCTCTTTTATATTTGCACAGTCAGATGCCGCAGCACGGCATAATTAGGCTGGCGATGGATGTCAACGCGTAGCATGACATAGCATGGCGTGGCGATGCCCCACAGGGGGGGGGGGGCTTTTGCGGCCCAACAAAACAACGAATCGGCACCGAATGTGCAATCACTTCCGATGGTTTTTTCGGGCGGGTATGTTTTGATGTTGGGGCCTATTTGGAAGGACCGGGAACCGTGACGCCAGCGCTGCAGCGGGAGCACGATTCGGAACGAGCGGAAGCGCGGAAATGAGTCCAGCGCTGCAGCGGGAGCACGATTCGGGACGAGCGGAAACGCGGAAATGAGGCCAGCGCGTCAGCGGTAGCAGCATGCTTGACAAAACAACATAGCGAAAATCCAGTTCCCAGGAATCTTGTGTGCAAAAAAACAGTACGAGGAGGGGTGCCAGATATCATTCGGACGTCATCCGGGGAGAGAGGAGAGTAATATTTATATTGTGTAATTGTGGAGGGGGAGGGGCAGGAGGAGGAGGAGGAGGAGGGGTAGCCATGTATCCTCTACCCTCGTCGCCTCGGCTGCATTCGCATCGAAATCCTGGTCAGAGCGCAAGGCCTGGAGTCTACTCTGAGGAGGGGGGACCCTCAGATCCAGGCGTTGTAATTTTAGACGCTTCATGTAACCCAACCCCACCAGCCCATCCAAAAACGATGCCCAGAGGACTTGCCTCGATGAGGTAAGTGGGCAGCACACAGAGGAAGGGTCCCCTAGTGGAGGCCAGCGTCTTTGGTGCCTATTGCCAGTCCCAGGGGCTTCTTGGAGAGTCTTGGGTGCCTCGTGGAGCCTCTTGAGGTCTCTTGGGGGTCTCTTGGCAGCCTCTTGGAGGCCTCTTGGGCGCCTCGTCGGGCCTTCTGGGCGCCTCTTGGGGCTCTCATGAGGCGCTCTTGGGAGCCTTTGGAGCACTCTTGGGGCCATCTTGGAGGAGATCGATCAAAGAAGATGAAGATGGGCTCCAATTACGCCCCCGCCCCCCCCCCACAGGAGCACCAAACATCGCCTCTTGGGGCGCTCTTGCAGCGCTCTTGGGGCCGTCTTGGGGCTCTGTTGGGTCTCTCTTGGGGCCCTCATGGGCCCTCTTGGAACTGTCTTGAGGCCAGAAAGAAAAACATATTGCTTTCCCATAGGTTTTGGAAGGATGTTGGCCTCTTGGCGGCCTCCTGGGGAAGCTCCGTGGCCACTCGGAGCCGCCGCCTTGGAGCGGTCTTGGGGCCTGTTGGAGCATCTTTGGAACCGTCTGGAGCAATCTTGGGCTATCTAAACAAACAAATCTTGGGATGTCTAGGGCTACCTTGGAGGTCCTCTTGGGCTGTCTGAGGCCCGCCTAGCGCCATATTGGGCCATCTTGGACGATCCAAAGACCCGTGAAACTCCCCCTCCAGGTTCAGGGGAGGGTAGGGGGAGGGGTTAAGACACCCCCTAGATAGCAAGCCGGCTAGCTCACTCCCACCCGCTTTCCCAACACATAAGTAGCTCCCGAGCCTCGGCATGTTCAGCTACTGGAATCCAAAACGGAGCCCATGCGCGCGACGCTGGGGCGAGGTGCGCCATGCCTGCCAGGCGCGCCACGCGCGCCAGGCACCCCTGGGGCCCGAGCGTGCCAGGCACGCCTGGTGCGCCAGATGCGCCATGTGCTCCGCGTGCGCCAGGTGTGCCGCGTACTCCAGCCGCGCCAGGTGCGCCACGTTCGGGGCACGTGCAGAGTGCGTCAGGTGCGCCTGCCCCACGTGACAGCACACATCAAGAAACATGTCGGCCCCCACCATCCTTGTCGAAAGTGAATGCCCATCATTGTGTTTGGGCCTGCGCACAGCAGGCTATACGCCACCAACCCCGCTGTCCCTGTCAAAAACCACTTGACAGTGATCGCGGGGTGGCCGCGCATGATCCAGGTTTCCGCCGCGAGGTGGATTCTGTTTTGTTTTTTGTTAGGGATGGTAGCCCTGCGCGCAGCAGGCAATCTGCTGACACCCCCCCGTCCCTCTCAAAAACCATACAAAGTGCTCGCGGGCCTCACGAACATGACTCAAGACTTCGCCCCAAAGCGTACTTTGTATTATTTTTTGACAGGGATGGTTGGGGGGGCGCATCGGGTTGGCCACGCATGCTCCACATGTGGAGGCAGAGGGCGTTTTGCTTTATTCTTTGACTGGGATGGCGGGTGGGGCCCGCATTGTTCCTGGTTGGCTGCCGGTCGCGTGGGGAGGGGGTGTATATTCACATGGAACAGTGATGAGCCCCTCCCCGAAGAGGAAGAAGGGGGTTGGAAGAGAAAGCTCTCCAGACCACCTGCGCCCATAAGGCTGGCGGGACTAATCACGTCAAGTTTTGCTGGTTCGTCTTGGGCCCTGGGACCTTCACAGATCGATGCGGCTCGAGGGAGCTCTGGATGGGTCGTTCGTCCCCCGCCACTGCACATATTTGTGCACGGCGTCGATGTCGGGGGCGGGCGCGGACGTTCATGGTCGAAGACATGGTGGATCCAGGGCCCCCCCTGCGACAAAGAACGTTCAAGCTTGACCCGTTCACGCAGCGACAAACACCGAAGCCTGCGCCGCTGGGGCAGATTTCCGCTATGCGCGGATCCTGGCCGGGCTTGTCGTGGGCAGAAGGGATCGACACACGGGGAGCGTTGGTCTAGTCCCGGGCGATAACAGGCGTTAAGGGAGGGGAAGGACAGGGGGCCGGTAACGTCACGTTTCGCGCCAGCGCCGTCTGGGAACATCAAGGAAGAACCAGAGCCAGCTCGGAGGTCAGCACGAATTGTTGCATTACTTGGGGAGGGTCGGACGGGGCCAGGACGAGGAGAAATCCGTTCCAGAGCGTTCTGGAACGCTCTCAGAGCGTTCCTGGAAACGCACTGAGAAGGCCGCGGCGCCCGAGACGCCCTCCAGAGCCGCCGGGGGATTTCAGACATTCTCGCTTGATCCCAACCGGATTTTTTCCGCGTCCTGGCTTCGTCTTCGAGGGGGGTGGGGGGCGGCCAGGGCCGTTATCGGCCGCTGCCGCGAACCATAAAAACGCGCTCGGCCTCCCCCCCCTGGCCGCTCGCAGGCAGGAGAGCAGCCTTTCTCCCGGGTCCTCGACGGGTCCTCGGCGGCGCTGAGGACCTCGGCTTCGCGCGGCGCGCGACGCGCGGCCGTCTGCGCGCCCTCGCGCCAGCGGCCGCGCAGAGGGCGGCCGCGAGGGGGCGCGCAGGCGGCCGCGCGCCGCAGGTCGACCTGGGCGCCCCCCAAGGGGGCGGCCCGCGAAGGAGTGGGGGGCCACCGAGGACAGGTTTTAGGATTCCTCCTTAGAAGTTGCTAGAACCTTCCTCGCGATGGTTTCAGGAGGGCTTCCTCCGAAAAGCCTTCCTAAATCCTTCCTCAGGAAGCTTTTATCTTGAAAGTCTTC